AAAAATCATGAACAACAAATATATATCTATCAACAAGTGAATCTAAAAGTCAAGTGAATTAAAAATCTGAGGAACAGAATAAACTGGTGAATATAATAGAATCAGGGACATAAAATGGGAGGGGATTGATAATTGTCAGGGGCAAAAAGGTGTCTGAGTGGGGGGTACAGGAAGAGACTGGACAAAAACCATACACCTATGGGTGAGGATGGGGGGGGGGGTAAAGGCAGAGGGTGGTGTGGGGACTGTTTGGAGGGGAGCTATGGGGGGGAGGAGAAACAATTGTAATAATCTGAACAATATTTATTAAATAAAAAATGTAAGGTTACATATCAAGCTGTGTGGTACCTACATAGATGTTGATAGTATTATTCCCTATATCTTTGTGTAAGTCTGAAATATTTCCTAATAAAAATTAGGAAAATAGCCAAAACCAGTTTGGCTCAATGGATAGAGAGTAAGCCTGTAGACTGAAAGGTTCCAGGTTCGATTTCGGTCAAGGGCATGTACCTTGGTTGCGGGCACATCCCCAGTAAGGGGGTGCACAAGAGGCAGCTGATTGATGATTCTCTCTCATCAATGTTTCTAACTCTCTATCCCTCTCTCTTCCTCTCTGTAAAAAAAAAAAAAGGAAAATAAAAAGAGGAAAGGGAAAGAATGTATTTAATCTGTGAGCTCTGTTTAAGGGGGAAAAGGTGGAGTCCTATTTGACCAAAGGATCAGAGAAAGGGCAGAGAGGCTCTTGCAGGTTGAAATTAGACAGCCTCATTTTTGCATTTAGTTAAGGCTTCCTAAGTGCTCTCTTAATTGCACTGATACCTTCTCTCATATATTCTGTGATATCACATCTCATATTCTAACTTATATTGTTATTCTTTAATTGAGGTGAAATTTACATAAAATTAGCCATTTAAAAGTGAAAAATTCAATGTTAATTACAATTCTGTGCATCCATCAACTCTTTAGTTCCAAAATATTTTAATCACCCCAAAACCCTGTTTCCATTAGTCATTCTCCATCTCCCCACCCCCCATCCCCTGGCAACCACCAATCTGCTTTCCACCTCCATGAATTTACCTATTCTTGGACATATTATATGAATGAAATCATATATCTGGCCTTTTGGGTCTGGCTTCTTTCACTTAGCATAATGTTTTCAGGATTCATCCACATGGTAGCATGTATCAGTACTTCATTCCTTTTTACAGTTTAACTAGATGCCTGGTGCATGAAATTTGTGCATGGGGTAGGAGGTGTCTCTCAGCCCAGGCTGCACTCTCTCCAATCTTGGACCCCTCAAGGGATGTCCTACTGCATGTTTAGGCCCTATCCCAGTGGACATCCCTATCACAATCCAGGACTGCTGGCTCCCAACTGCTCACCTGCCTGCCTTCCTGATTGCCCCTAACCACTTCTGCCTGCCAGCCTGATTGATGTCTAACTGCTTCCCTGCCAGCCCATTTTCCCCCAACTTCCCTCCTCTGCTGGCCTGGTCACCTCTAACACCCCTCCCCTGCAAGGTTGATGGTCTTCAACTGCCCTCCTTGCAGGCCTAGTGCCTCCCAACTGCCCTCCCCTACTTGCCTGATCAGCCACAACTGACCTCCCTTGCAGACCTGGTCCCTCCCAACTGCCCTCCCCTGCTGGCCATCTTGTGGTGGCCATCTTGTGTCCACATGGGGGCAGCCATCTTTGACCACGTGGGGACAGCCATCTTGTGTGTTGGAATGATGGTCAATCTGCATATTACTTTTTTATTAGATAGGATAATATTCTATTATATGCATGTACCTCAATTTGTTTATCCATTCTTCTATTGATGGACATTTGTGCTGTTTCAACTTTTGGCTATTATGAATAGTGCTAATATGAACATTCATGTCCTAATATTTATTTGTGCATTGAGTGTGTGTGTGTGTGTGTGTGTGTGTGTGTGTGTGTGTGTATGCATATATATCTGTATGTGTATCTACTTCCCCTGCCCCCCAACCCCTGATCACCTGGACTCTGAAATTCTGAATGGTTGGGACCATAAAAGGGTTTATCTTTCTTTTCCAAAGGCTCCTGAGCTTTTCACTTAGTAGGTGTTCTACTAATGCCTATTAAAGTAAAGCAAACTTCACATGCCCATAATCGCTTTTTGTATGTGTCAATGTTTTAAAATGTATTATGTATTCCTTTAAAAAATTTCTTTATTAAGGTATCACATATTTGTCCTCAACCTCTCATTCCAATCCCCCACCCCCTCCCCACTCATGCTTCCACCCCCCTATTGTCCTTATGGCTGGAACCACATGGTGAAACAAAGGCACACAGGCCCTTTGTCATCATTACCTAAAATGAAAGAGCAGGCCAATAGACATTTTTCCATATAGAGTGATTTAAACACCTTCAAATTGTTTTTGATTTTTCAGTGCTTACATTGTATAAATTGATAGTATAGTCTTGTTCTTAGACCCAGGCAAGAGGAATTTCTGTCCTGAGCTCTATGCTTTAGAGTCCTCACTTTTGTCCTCTTCTAACCATGCCCATCCTTACAGGGCCAGGAGCCTAACCCATGGAAGAAGGGGTGTGCCCCTGCTACCCCATGTTCCAGGTACCTGGCACGCCTTTATAGTTTCAAGTCTGTTGCCAGGGCCTGTGTGTTTCTCTTGGGGCTGTCTCTGGGAGGACTGACTACATTACTGAGGCCTGTGCTCCCAGGCCTAAGGGGTGGTAGTATATACTCAGAACTGAGGGTGGGTCTGGTCTAGTCTAGGTGATTGAGAAGGGGTACAACTCTTCCTACACCATTGGAGCAGGACTTACAGGAGTCTAAGAATTCAAAATCTCAACCTATCTTTTCAGGTGGTTATGAAGGTACATTTGTCATAAAGAAGATACAACTTACTTTACTTAATGGTTTATTTGTTCTTTTAAATATTTTTATGCATATGGGTATGTGGATCCCTAATTGAACTCTTTTACTGAACCTCACAAATTTTACAAATGCTTCAGGAGGGCCAGATTCAAAAGCTGATCTATAACCCCTTTCCCTTGATTGCTCCATGTAACAAGTTGTTACCTGAGCACAGCAGGGCCCTTTACTTTTGATAGTAGCTCGTTCCAATAGCACATATTGCTTTAGGACTTGATCCCAGTCCCTTGAGCAGGCTGCAGTACCACCATCTTGGCCCGCACCCATACACACTCATCCCCATTAGCATTCTTTCTCTTACCAGTCTCTTTGCTCCCCAGGTGTTTACACAGATGAGAACCTCTTCAACACTACACTCCCATGTACAAATAGCCAACTAGAGGCCATCAGCTTGGTCAGGCACAAGTTGGTTATGCCATACACAACTTCTTAAGATAATTTTGCCTCTCTGATAACCCTCTGGTCTGAACAGTCAGTATTTTACTTGATTTTCCTTCCCATGTGACATACAAAGATGACAACAGAACAAGCTTTATTTACTTTATTTGCTTTGCATATAGCCAAAATCAAGAATGCTAAAAATTTAAAACTTATCAAAATGTGCATGTAGGCATTAAAAAAAACTTAATATCTACTTTAAAACAGTTTTGTTATTACCTGTGGAAAAGAAATTGTTAATGGAATGTTCTTAGAGTAAGAATAACCTAATAGTGGTCCACCCTGAGAAAAGGGGGAAGGGAGGTATAGCAACTTATCTGCATGATTACCTGGGTAAAGGGCATCTATCTTAATGAACTATTCACTATGGGAATACAAAGGAAATCAAACCAAATCAATAAAAAACCTAACATTATCAAAAGGGTAAAGATATAGTACCAGAAAAATAGAAGTTTTATAGAGAAAATGCAAAATCCAGCATATGATTATACAATGTCACACTATACCATCAGCAAAACCAAGCACTGAAAGTGTTTAAATTAGCTCTAGCATCTCACTGCCCACCTGAATCTCTTTTCCATGAAGTGACACCCCATTCAGAACTTAAAGGTGCAGTTGTCTCTATCCCTGCATTTCTGTTTATGCAAAGTAGCCCCAAGGTGGTAGAGGCAGACACAATGAAAGTTATACTAAGACACTTCTGGGTCTCCTAAGAAAATGAGTTAGCTACTGTGCAGGCATTCACATGGGGCTCTCCCTTAGTATTTGGTATATTTGGGGAATAGAGTAGAAGGGGAGAGTGAGTGAGTGGCTCACTGGGGAGGTGAGGGCCATCAAACTTTTGAGATGTGTGTCTTTAGGAAAGAGGGCAGGAAGAGGCTGATTTAATCACTCAAGACTTCCAGTTACCAGAAAGTTAACTGTTATATGGCAGTCTTGCTTTGGGCTAAAATCTTGTGAAACAGAGTTTTCTGAGGGAAAGTTTTCTGAGGCTATGCAGAGGTCTCTACCTTAAATTTGGAGCCAGGGGGTAAGGCATCTCTCAAGTGGCCCCAGGCTTCTTTCATGGAAGGCTTTTTGGCTAAAAGTATATGTTTTGGCATCTACAGAACTTGGAATTTCAACAGGGTCTTCAGGGCTTATAAAACAGGATATGGCCCTAGCCACTTTGGCTCAGTGGATAGAGTGTCTGCCTGTGGACTGAAAGGTCTCAGATTGAATTCCGGTCAAGGGCATGTACCTCAGTTGCAGGCTCCATCCCTTATCTGGTAGGGGCATATCCAGGAGGCAACCACCAATATCTCTTTCTCTCCCCCACCCCTTTCACTCTAAAAAAATCAATGGAAAATATCCTTGGGTGAGGATTGACAACAATAAAAACAGGATATGTATATCTAGTACACTTCTGAGCAACTGGAGAGGGTCACAGTGGTGTTGGGGAAAGCAGACAAAGACTGGTGAACTAACCATCCAGAGGAGCATGATAATGTCCAAGCAATATTCTGCCTCACAGGAAGATACTCAAGGCTGTCAGACCTGTGACAGACTGATATGGTGAATATGTAAAGAGAGAGCTCTGAATAAATTGCAGGCATTGGGATTTCCCAGGTATACAAAGAAGGTGTTTTAAAGAGATTGGCTTTGCAAAATTTTTCTTGGAGACCAGGATTTTCACTTCCACCACCTTTTCTAGGGGCCTTTGCAAAGTTGGAGCAGCAACCAAAAACTAAAGCATTTAATTAGGCTCAGAAACCTAAAAGCCAATCCTTGAGCCAAATCATCTGGACATTTCCATTAGAATTAATTTATTTGATCAAGGGAAATGACCCCTATCTTAGTTGTTCCAACAAAATGTTTTTACTTTTGCCCTTTTAAAGCACATTGCCCAACGTTAAAGATTTCAAAATTCTACGTTTTACATAGTTTTTATAGAGGAAATGCTGGGTTTTCAGATGCTGGCAATGACTGTACTAAACATTAGGCATTGTGGCATTTGTTTCCCTCGCATAATTATTAGTTTTAATTCCCGTTTTAAGGCTTTTTTGCTTATCAAAAAATTGTTACATTTCTAAGTAATTCAGTGCATAGCATTAATAAAGCTCTTGGCAATTATCATTTGAAATGCTGATACTCCACCCAGGAGCTACTTATTGCATGGTTTCTGTTATTTGGCTCCATGCTTTGGCTTTCTTCTTGGCCATGGAGAACCAGATTGGCTCATCTGGCTCTTTGAACATGGTTGGGTGAGCTGAAGATTGTCTGGTTTCTTTTCTCATGGCAGGCATTTGAATTATCTTCTCATTTTCATATCCTATTGGAACCACTGCAAATAACACACAAGCAGTAAGAAGACCCAGAGGTACTGAGCTATGTTTAAAGAATACAATAAAATTTTCCTTATTTCATATTTATTCTGTTTTCTAAAACTTAATGCATGGACAATGCCATGGGTGGTATGGCAAAAGGGTAAAATCAATATGGCTATGGCACAGGGATGTGGACAAGGGAAGGTCTGAGAGAAAATGCTTACTTTACAGCTGTAACTGCCAATGTCTGGGTGGTTATTACTGTATTGGCTTATACTTTTGAATTGAGATTAGAGAGAAATCATATTATATGGTATCTTCAGTTTTTTTAATTTCTAGTATTATTTTTCTTTCGCTAATCCATGATGTTGTGTAACATAAATGATGACAAAGTAGCTCCACCTGGTAAAAGTCTATGCTAAATAACACTTTACCAACTACTCTAACCAAGCAGACTTACTTCCCTATTCCCCAATTCTACTCCTTTCTTCATCCTGTTTTATGGTTGATTAACTTAGTGGCTTAGACTCAATCAATAGTTCTCAACTCTGGCCACACATTAGAATTTCCTAGAGCTTTTCAAATATACAAAGGCCCAGCCCTGGCCAGTGTGGTTCAGTTAATTGGACATCGTTCTGTGCACCAAAGGGTTGCCAGTTCAATTCTTGGTCAGGGCACATGCTTAGGTTGCTGGCTTAATCCCTGGTAGGGGCATGCAGGAGGCAGCTGATTGATGCTGCATTCTGATGTTGATGTTTCTCTCTCTCTCTCTCTCTGAAAATCAATAAACTATTCTTTAAAAATAAATAAATAAAAATACCAAAGTTTATGTCATTTCCTGAACTAACTGAATTAGGATTTCTGTAAATGGGGCCAGGAACATCTGTAATTTTTTTTTTAAAGCTTACCAGGTGATTCTAAAACAGTGAGTTGAGAACCACTTGGCAGGAGTATAGTGCCCATGAGACTATTAATATCTATGAGCAGGTCAGGTGCTACTATTTTCTGGCCAGACAATGGGTTACCAAATTCCTAGTCTAATTCTTCATGAGGGGGACTAAGGGAAAGGACAAATATGATTCAATATAAATTCATATGCCCCTGCTCCTGCTGAAAAAACAAACAAACAACAACCCTCTGGCATATAACTCTGCTGATAAAATCACACTCTATTCTATTCCAGCATAACTTTTTTTCCCTCACTTTCAACATTTCCCCACTTCTCATACCTCTGCTTAGAAGATAGAGGGGCTAAAACAACCCTTTAAAAATTCAATACCATTGAGTCTTTATAATGGAATATTCCTAATAGTTTCATTGTAAACAGAGAAAATGAGAACACACTGCTTTGCTATGAACTGAAAGGTAACTTGGTTCTTTCCTCTTAAATACTAGCCTCAGGAACATTTTAGTACATGATCATAATTTTGTACCTACACAGTTTCCTCAGTAGGGTAAAAAAAATGGAAGCTACTCTCAAAGTTACACACTGGGCTTATAACAGCGATAATGGTTGGATTTTCCTAAAACAAATTAATATCTGTATCTAATGAAAGAGCCATGAGAGACTCATGAAGCTGATTTGAAGTTGGGGGTGGGAAGATATATATTGTCAGAGCTTGAAAATCCAAGAGTTTCACAGAATTCTGCCAGGGATGTTTGGGGGGGGGGGCGGGTTAGGTGTGTGTTTTTACCTGCTTTGGTAGAGACATGTATCTTAATCTGTGCTGTCTTCTGCTGTCTATTGGTATTGGAAGTAGAAATCTCTCTTTGTTGGCTTCGTTTTGCAAGGTCAGCTCCCTTTAATACAAAAATAAAAACAGGAAGCTTGTAAGGCCTAACATGAAAACAGCAAATTACTTATTCAGATGATCACAAGATATAAGCCCTGTCCTGGGTATTATGAGGTCAAAATTAATAAAATGGGAAGATGTGGAGTGATAGATATAGAAAAAGACAAGGAAAGAAATAGCAGTGAGAGCCCCCTTGGTTCAGAATTTAGGTTCACAAAATCTAAGCTGGTTCAAGTTTACTACTTTTCATATCTAGAAAAAAAGGTTGTCTTACTCATACAAATAGTATAAACAGGATGACATGAGAATTATTAATCTTGAGAACTACCTTTTCCCTAGCACTTGACAGCAAGGTAGCAGAATGTGGTGGTTATAATAAAGTTTTATCAATTAACTGAAGTGAGTTCTATAGAATTTCTATTGAGCAAAACTTGTTGACATCTGACTTGCACTCCTTGCATTACTAGAAAACAATATAACCATAGGTCTTTTCAAAATTGTACAGTTTAAGTTTTTCAAATGAACCTCTCCATACTGATCTAAATTAATGTGTGTGTGTGTGTGTGTGTGTGTGTGTGTGTGTGTGTGTGTGTGTGTCTAAAATATCTGTAAGGATAGTTCTTCATCTTTCACCCCATTGATAAAAAAAAAAAAAAAAGCTTCCATCCCATCATAAGGATTTTTTATGACTTACTCCTTATTTCTCAACCAATTTCATGGAATCTGCTTTAGAATGTTTAGGACAGGATTTGATTTATAGAATCTTTTCACATGCATTACTTTCATACACTCTTTAAAAGCACAAAGTGGAGCACATTTGTTTGAGTACAAAGCAAGTCTTTTCCTTTGCAGAGTCTTGATTAATGCAACCAAAGAAGTGGGAAGCTGCATGCCTGAAAAAGATTCCAATGTAACCTTTGGGAGTGTTTTGTGGGCTGCCCCAGGTCCTACCTCATTTCTAGGCACTTTAGTACCAGCCTTTGCTCCAGCTTTATTCTTGGTTTTCAGCTCTTTTGTAGGAACCTGGGTAGGGAAATTCTTCTGCTTCTGCTTGACCATGGTTATCCAAGGTGGCTCTGAGGTGGCAGAACCTGACTGTTTACCAGGAGCCTTTCCTGAGAAGGGAATTAAAGGAGTTAGAACTGAAGCAAGGCAGACAGAGTCTTGAGTGCCTATCCAGGCTGGGTCCTACCCATAATAATGTCCCAATGGGATCCTTGTGAATTGCTCAATGAAAATAAATAGATATCACATAAAGAAGAACCCCCTTCTTTTGTACCCTCCCACAACCTAGTAAGGCCGGAGTTCTTTGGATAGATAAGAAGCTGTACTTCTAAGTTTACATACTGTTCTCTTACTGGTACCTTTTCCTTCCTTGTCCATCCCTCTGCCTATCTCTAAATCATGATAGGACAAAGGTGGCCAGGTGGGCTGGAAAAATTCCTAGGAGGCCAGAGGTTCAGGCCATTAGCCATTAATGTCATTCCTCTAATTCCAAGGAAATGCTTACAGTATTTGTTAATTCATAGTTCCTTATGCAAGTGTGAGGGTACATGGGTGTGGTTATAGGCATATACAAGACTATGTGATGATGAGTCTGAAGATGCAAAGACTTTGTGAGAGATTAGTGCTCAAAAGATCACCTAGTTCTGGATTCTTAGACATTTCAGGTTAGGGAAGAAGCTCTGGAAGTACAACCATTTACAGTAAATTAAGATTTCAAGCTGAGAGTCTGAATATAATGCTCTATTAATGAGCTGTCTTTAAAAATCCACATGATGTTGGGGGAAGCATAATACATGTAAAAGTGTTTTGGGAAAATCATAATATTTCATCCAAATGTAAAGTGTACAGAGGGTGGGAGAGCGGGAATGGGATGATGGTCATGAGTCCATTAGAGAATCCCTTAATCTAGAATGGAGCACTGCCCCCAAATCAACAAGACAACCCTATCAAAGAAAAAACTGAGCAGGCAAGGCTATAACAGATTTCTCCCCATTCAAGACTTTGATTTACAGTTCTTCCTTCTATTTGGTACCTAACTGTCATCTGGAAAGATAGTCTCACCTGGGATCTTGTAATCAGGTTTCTTCTTGAGCATGCTGTCAGATTTAGGCTTGCTCTTTTGCTTCTCTGCAACATCAGATGTTGTGGTAAGGTTCTTGGTGATGCCCAGCAGCCCCTGGGAAGCACTTCTGATTTGTGGTTCTCTATCTGTGTAAGATGAAACTGGGCCCAAGGGGAGTGAAGGAAGCGTGGTAGAATTGTTTTGTTCATTACTCTTGTACTTCTGTGAGGAAGGGATCCTTTTCAGTCGAACTCCAAAGAGGTTTTCAACATCAGCCTCACTGGTGGATAAATTTGAATAGTCGTTATTTTGATCACTACTCTCAAGAACATCCTCCTTAGAGTAAGTGTCCCCAGAAGTGATTGGTGGCCATGCAGGAGCAAGGGTGAACTTCACAGATTTGGTAGCAGGAGTTGAGATGTCCTTGAAGAGATCTTCAGAGTCTTGGCTGTGTCCCCTAGTTTTGCTTGGAGAAGCTGGACCTCTTGGGAGGGACCAGCTGCTAGGATTGCTCTCAGAAATGGCTCCCTTGGCAGCAGCACTCGTGGAACTTGAATAAACTTGGTGCTTATATTGAGGTTCTGTAAAAGCCTGGAAAGGGTGTCTGGCAGGCAGACGATTCTCAGCACTACTCCTCTCTACTGGTACACTCACTGAGCCTGTTGAAGAAATCTGTGGCTGGAATTCAGCCCCATCCTCAGCTTGGATAGGGCATTTGGAAGGCAGCTGCTCTTCAGAACTCTTCCATTCTTTAAGAGAGCTCTCAGAAACTGAGGATACTTCTTGCTCATACTTAAGCTTCCCCCATGCCTGGGAAAGGTATCCAGGAAGCAGCTGCTCTTGAGGATAGCTACACTTAACAGGAGCATTTTCTGAATATGGGTCTTCAGGCCAACCCAAGGAATGAGAAGGGAATTTCATAGGCAGCAGCTTTGAAGAAATGCCTCCCTCGATATCAGCACTCTCACAACCTGAGAAAGCTTGGTGCTCAACTGTAGATCTCAACAAATATTTGGAAGGTTGATTAGAAGACAGAGGATCCACATAAACCTGCTCCTCCACATTAGGGCTCTCTGAAAAGACATGCTGTGCCATAAATTTCACAAATGACTGAGAAGGACACTTGGTATGCAGTGACTTCTTAGACATGCTTCCTTCAACAGCAGGGTTCTCTGTATGTAAGGATATTTCTTGAATGTTAGGCTTTGAGAAGTGGGTGGGATATTCGATAGGCAGTGGCCTCTCAGAAATGCACCCAACAGCAGCATTCTCAGAAGTTGGCATCATTTTCTGGATTTTATGTCTCACAATGGACCAATGTCTGGGAGGCAGCTGCTCTGTAGAACTGTCTCCCTCAATGGCAACACTCTTTGGACCTGCAGAGATTGGTTGGTTGACTACTGATTTCATCTGATGCTGTGAAGGCTTTCTGGGAGGCAGAGTCTCTGAACCTACATAGGTTTTTTGCTCAAATTTAGGGCTCGCCCAGGGCTGCAAAATATATGGAGAAGGCTTCTGCTGCACAAGACCACTCCATTCTTTAGGAGCACTTATCAAACCTGAGACTTCTTGCTCAGCAACTGGTCTTCTTAGGGACTGAGAAGGCATTTTGGGAGGTAGTGGCTCTCTAGGATTTCCCCACTCCACAGCAGTGCTCCCTGGACTTGCAGATGGTTGTTGTTCAAAGCTGGTGATCACCCAGGAGCCCTTTGTGTGTCTGGGAGGCACCACAGGATTACTCCACCCTGTGAACGCACTCCCTGGGTCACTGGAAATAGTCTGTGGATGACCAGGGAAGTTTGGATACAGGGGTTCCACAAATATGTCCTTATTACAAGCAGTGTTCTCTAAGAAGACATGCTTGTCTTGAGGATTTGTTAAGCAATCAGGGAATTTTGATTCCATTAAAATGATCCTACCAGCACCCTCTGAACTTAGGAACACACTTTGTTCAATTGCTGGGTTCATCCTGGGCTGGGCTAAAATGTTAGAAGGAGGCTCCATAGAAATGCTCCCCTTAACAGCTGTGCTCTCTGGACCTGCAGAGATTTCTTGTTCAGCTATTGGTTTCACTGAAAGCTGAGAATTATTTCTTGAAGGCTTTAGCTCCGTAGAAGTGGTCCCTTCAATAATAGCAATTTCTGGACTTGAGGAGATTGGTTGATCAATTTTATGCTTCATCAGGCGCCTTGAATGCTTTCTGGGAGGCAGTGGCTCCATAAAAATGCCCCACTCAGGAGCAATACTTGCTTGACCTGCAGAGGCTTGTTCCTCAGATTCAGGGCTCAGCCAGGAATGGAAAAAGTTCATGGGAGGTGTTGACACCCATTCTGAAAAAGCATTCCCCGAATCTGAGGAGAGTTGCTGCTGAACAGATGGCTTCACAGAGGGCTGAGGAAGGTTTCTGGGAGGAGTCTGCTCCATAGATACAACTGACTCCTGAAGTGTCTTCTTTGAAACCAAGATTTCCTTTTGGGCTGTGGGCATCTCCAACACCAGAGAAGGACGTTTGGAAGGCATATCTCCCTCGGAACTGCTCAAATCCTTAGGATTACTGTATTTTGCAGAATTACTATTTGATTCTGTGGGCACTTTGTCCTCAGGCTCCTCCAAAGTCTGGGAAGCACACCTGGCAGCCAGCTGCTCATGAGAATTGCACAAGTTCCCAACAACACTGTTTGAATCTGGGAAGGCTTCTTGATCATCTTTGGACTTCACGGGCTGAAACGAATATTTGGGATCCGGCTCCTGTTCAGAACCACTGCCCTTCTCTGAAGAAGCACTCTCTAAATCTGAGAGCAATTCTTCATCTTTGGGCTTCCCCAGAGACTGGGAAACGTATCCAGGAGTCAGCTGTTGATCAGAACCACTTTCCACCTCTGAAATACTGTCTGAATCTAAGAAGGCTCCTTCAGCTTCCGGCTTCCCCAAAGATTGGGAAAGGCTTCTGGGAGGCATCCTCTCTACAGAAATTCCTCCCTCTGTCAAAGCACTTGCCTTATCCGAAACACGTGTTGGAAAGGCCTGGATGACATTTCCAGAAGGCTTTTCCTTGCAGATAGTTGAGCTATCCTGAGCTGACTTCATTTCAAATTGGTCACTTTTTGAATCAATGCTGGAAGCTTCTTCCTCTTCTGACTGAATATGAGTGGGATCCATATGCACCTGAGGCTCCCCTGTCACTGAGAATATGGTATCTTCTTGGCTTTTTGAAGAGTTTTCTACCATTGATGAAAGAGAAGTTATGTTATCTGACTTCTTAGTTCCAGAAGCCTCATCTTCAAGGTATTGTGATGGACCACTAGCCATGGACCCTTTCCTGTCATTAGGTCTGATATATGACATTGATGCTTTTCTGGTTTTAAAATCTAAACCAGTCAGTCTCCTTCTCGTGTCATTTTCATCTGAAAGCAACTCCCGAGGAGTAATATTTTCTACTTGTGGAGCTCTGGGCTGCTTCATGACTTGTGTCTCCAAGGAAAAGCGGCAGAAAGGGCTATCCCTGGCAATCTTATCAGCAGATGGGTACCCAGCTCTATTACCTAAGCCACGCCCTCGACTAGGCTGTTTAAAGCTCCTTCCTTTGGATCCACACTCATTCTTTTCTGAAACACTTGCTTCTTTTTTTCCACGTCGTTTTCCATATGCTGCCGACCATGAGTAGCCCTGACTCTCAGCAGCATCTGCATTTGCAGCCTGGTCTGTTGTCTTATAAATCTCAGTTTTGATGCTCTGTTCCTGACTTGAGGGACCTGTACCAGATAGAAATAAGAAAAAATAAAAATATGTGTGCTTTTGACTTCCTAAAATAAGAACAATTTGCCTTGGCCTAATGGGTACCTATTTGGTATTGAATTTTCTAGCATTAAGAAGTAACTATTCAGAAGCTAGAGCAACTGGTCACTAAAAGTGAAGTAAAATCCCAATTTTATGAACTGATTCAAAGGTTGGCTCATTACCATTATATCAAGAGTCTTGCCCACTATTAGGAGTGAGACACATCAAAAAACAAGTTTTGAACCTGCGGCAATGATTATCTTTTAGGAAACCAACTGAGGCAAGGCAAGGGGAAATTTTACTTCCTAATTAGTATTTGTATTTTCTACTTAATTTTCATATAATAGTAGGTAATGCTTTATTTTTATTTTTATTATTATTATTATTATTATTATTATTATTATTTATTTATTTATTTGGAAAGCTGTGAGCAGGGGTTATCCGGAGGTAAATTTATAGCTCCCTTTTCTTCTGTTTCCTACTCTCTTGGTTTTTGTTTGTAAATCCTCACCTGAGGACATTTTCATTGATTTTTTTTCAGAGAGAGAGAGAGAGAAAGAGAGAGAGAGAGAGAGAGAGAATAAAGAGACATTGATTGGTTGCCTCCAGCATGCACCCTGACCAGGGCCGGAAATCAAACCTCCAATCTAGGCATATGTCCTGACCGGGAATGGAACCCAGGACCTTTCAATGGATAGAACAACTCGCCTACCAACTGAGCCACACCAGTCAGGGCTACTCCCTTGTATTAAATTAATCTGACGTAATATACATGCAAAAAAAATTCTTGCAAGCCTTAATTGCATTAGTCCACAGGCTTCAGGTCAAGCACAATGCAACAGTTGTACAGATCTCTCCTCTCTCTATTCTTTTAAAATATGTTTTTATTGATTTTTAGAGAGAGAGATAAAGAGATAGAAACATCAACTAGATGAGAAACATCATCAATCTGCTACCTCCTGCACACCCCCTACTGGGAATTGAGCCTGCAATCTGGGCATGTGCACTGACTGAGAATCGAACCTGTGACCTCTTGGTTCCTGGGTCAATGCTTAACCACCGAACTACACCAGCTGAACTCCTCACTGTATTTTTTTTACTAAGGAACTCAGCTTGATACCCATGTGGAAGGGCCCTCACTGTCTTCCATCCCCCATCATATACTGCATCCCTAGCTCCACCAGCATACAGCACTGAGGGTAGCTGGATGCACTCCAAACTATTCCCATTATGTGGAAATACAATCAGTATCTGCCCCCATGGACACTGAGTCAGTTCTATCCTCTGTGCATAAAAGGACAAATATTAAAAGTAAATATGAAAAAAACAATAAAAGGAAAGTAAAAATGAATTACTAATTTCTTTCTCTCTGTTTCTCTCTGCAGAACAATTTTGTTAGTTTTCATAAAAAATTTTGTTTAGGAATATCCTATCTTTGAACTCTTTTGTGGAAAAACATGAAATAATTTTTTGACTTAATTTATGGAACTGAGGTTTTGTTTTATCAAGTATTGCTTGAAATTAGGCTGCCATCAGCTGGAGCCAACATCCACATATACACACAGAGAGATTTTCACTCCCATGGTATTATTTGGGGATTTGATGGGTGTCAGCTATAAAAGACATCTGTCTGCAGCTGCCCTAGCCCTCTTAGCCCATGGATATGGAAACTGATCTCACTGTTAATGCAAGACCTTTTCTCTCTACAGCAGTGGTTCCCAACCTTTATTTGGCCATGCCCCACCTAGGCATCTCTAAAATCCTGATGCCCCTCCCCATGACATATAATTTTTATTATTCAAAAAGTGAACTTCTATTCATGTGGAGGAAGTCTATAAGGCCATTAATTTGGTCTAAACAAGCTTCCAAAGAACATGACATCCACGAAAGAGAAAAATAAAAGAACAAAAGAATAGTTGAAGTACTGAGGAAGAAATCATTAAGAAATTGTTTAAAATAATAATAATATGAAGTGATACGAAAAAATAGCAAATAAAGTTTCAAAACATATAATATAGAACTGAAATGCATAAATATGTCACAATATATATTTATATACTGTATATGAAGCCCCTAGAACCATAAGAAATGAAAATGTTCACTGTTAATAACTCATTCTCAAATTTCCCCTCTTAAAAATCAAATTGCCCCCTTTAAAATCAAATTGCCCCCCTGTGGGGCATGTACCCCATGATGAGAACCACTGCTCTACAGGAAGAGAAAAGCAACTTTAAAACACTAGTTTTGGGCCTGGCTGGCACAGTTCAGTGGTTGAGCATCAATCTATAAACCAGGAGGTCGTAGCTCCATTCCCATTCAGGACACATGCCTGGGTTGCAGGTTCGATTCCCAGTGTGAGGAGTGCAGAAGGTAGTCAATCAGTGATTCTCTCTTATTATTGATGTTTCTATCTCTCTCTCCCTCCTTTCCTCTCTGAAATCAATAAAAATATATTTTTAAAAACTAGTTTTAGGCCAATTCTGTAATTATTATCTGGTTCTGTTGCTGAGGGGGAATGCTGAAGGGAAATTATTGGCTGCTCTCAAATATCTGGGCTCACTAAGAAATTCAGCATGTAGAGTTAGAGAGGATTGAAGAAACGCACAAACACAAAACACCTCTGGTTGTAAATTCATTTAGACAAAAGAGGGATCAGTATGAGCCTTTACCTAAATCCCCTGCAAGTGACAATTGTATTAGTTAAGCAGTAGATGGAGAAACCTGAACCATATTAGTATGCATCTTAAATTGAAAGCTCTCTGAGGACCATGGACAGCTGGCCTGGGTAACTCCCATCACATAGCACTGTGCAATTAAGCTCATAGTACATGATTCTGGGTGAGGGTGAAGTGTGCCAACCTGCAATGTCTTTGAGCTTCTTTTGGGTAACTGCTTTTGGTTTGGTGTTCTCTCCAGAAACCAGTGGAAGGCCTGGATCCTCCTGCTTTGACTTCATCTAAAAGAGAGAAGAAAGAGCTCAAATCAGACTAAAGTGCTCACCCATCCCTGCATGGTTGCCAAATGGGGAAGCGGGGATCAGAAAAAAAAATATCTCTGATATCCAAATGGCTCTGATGGGAACACAACAATACCATTAACAATGAAAATTATTTCCAATGGCATTCATCACCTGGTGATCATTTTATCTATTAGAAGTGATTCACCTACATTTGAAGCTTATAATCTCTGAGAGATATGCTACAGAGAACTTTCTAAAATACCCCGGAAACCACTGAAACACACTGCTGGGCAATAAATCTGAAAATGGGGTGCTGTGCCTGACAACAATCATATTCTTGGCAACATTGAAATTATTAAATTTGCTTCATCACACCTGGGAGCCAAATTCAAATCCTGTTTGGCTTTTTCATCCCAAAGGAATTTAGTGAGAACATGAATTATGTCTTTCCAGCTCAAAAGAAGAAAGAGGATCAGGGTTTTGTTGGGAAGGAAGAGAGAAAGAGATGTTCAGCATTTATACTGAAGGGGTTAAAATTGGTTGAGAATAAACGAGGTTTTCAGATAATTACAGTGCAGCTGTAGCCCTGTCAGAGTAGTGTCAGGATTTGCTTAACATAAGCCTTTATGACATGCATCTAAAGACAAAAATACAACTTTTTATGTTCCCACTTGACATGCCTATTCAGGCGCAGCTCAAAATTACTTCTGAGTAAATGTGGTCAGAGAGACCTGGGTTCAAATCTCTGCTCCATCATTTGCGCTCTATAGATCCCTGGGCAAGTTATTATCTGAATCTCCGTGTCCACATCTATAAATTAGAGATAAGGGAAACCTCCTATGGGACTTGAAGACCTAAGAAATTCTAAAGGAGGGAGTAAGTGGCAGCAGTTTCTCTGTCATATATGATCCTGTACCCTTTTATATTCATTTGAGTATCAGGTAGAAAGTCACAAGAAAGAAGTAGATGTTCTAGCCTTTTAAAAGAGTGATACCCAGGTCTTTCCTCAATTAGGCGATGCAGAAGGAAGTCAGAAGGGTCACACTAAGTTTCCCTTAACCAACATTCCCCATCTCCCAGGTTTGTGAAGTGTCAAGATGATAATGCATATACAGGGTTTAGTGCATAGAAATTGGTCATCCTCTGCTTGACACTGAACCAAGGAAATTCTCTCAGGTCCACCAGAGGCCCAGGGGGACCTGCTACCCTGCCTACTATTCTTTCAAGCTGTATTTGTTCTTTTTCTAAAGCTAAATTGAGATGTCTAATCAAGAAGCAACATGGTGGCGTAAAAAGAGTACTGGATTGGAAGTCAAAAGATTACGTTCTGGCCTTAGATCTGCCACCAATAAGGTGTTTGACCTTGGGCAACTATTTGTCCTTTAATTTCCTTCCTGTAAAAAACTAAAACTATGAAATCACTTAGACTCTTTCAGCTTTGATTTACAGCCCTTTACTTATAGCCCACTATTGGAGTCTCTTTCACGGCCCGCGTTGGGCGCCAGATATAGGACTCTCTTTCCTAGCCGGCGTAGAAAGAGTTCCAATTCAGGGTTCAGCTTCTGGAGAAGGGCCGCACACAAATGAAGAGACTTAAAGAAATTTAATTTGGCGACTTGGGGGGCCAGGCGGTAGTCCAACTCTAGTGGGAGAACTACGACTGCTCTGGCCCTGCCATCCCCTTTTATTGAGGCTTAACAGCTGCTTCAACTTAACATAATCTCAACTAAAGGTTTAAAGCAATTGAGGTTGTTGACCAGCCTTCCTGGCTTCCTGTCAACATCTCTTTCCCAGCTGAATAAGATTTGGTTTCCAGCATCCCACAGTCACTGAGAAATTAGGTGTTTGACCTAAGTGAATCAATCTTCCAGCTAACTGCATATCCTTATAAACATTACCATATTTTAATTCTTAGCTTTTAGTAAAAATTTTTCCCAAAGACATTACTTCCCTACCTTCCTAAACAGAGATGAGGGAACATGGTTTAACTTTTCTTGATGACTTGGGCAAATAATGAACATGACCTATTACATTGGATTATGATACAGTGTGGCCCTGAGGGACTTATAAAGGTGGGCAAGGTTCTTGATCCCTGTACTAAATGGCCCCTCTCTGCTATCAATTGATACTTTTCCTTACTGTCAGATCTCTGAATCTGATCTGTGGCTATGTTTTTAACAGAATTGGCTCACTAAGTGTAGCTCTACCTGCTTGAAAGTCATAAAACAGTAATTTGTGACATCAATGTGATACTGAGAGATCTTTGGGGGTTTAGGTTAATAGATGAGTTTTGAATGCTTGGAGTTGTCCCAATGAGTGGAACAGTGCTGCAATTTGTAACACATAGGTCTTACTTGATTAATAATTAAAAGAAACATAATTTTGGGCTATGGTTGAATATCCTCTACAAAGAGGGTTGAGTGAATTCCTGATGCTAATGCTAATACAAGCAGTTTCTAGGAAATTAGGTTATTGCTTCTATTTTCTTCAGTCTCTTTTATGTAAGTTCCACATGCATAGGACATTTCAATCACTAGATTTAAGTTTGGTCACCTCTCTGGGAGTGTCAATCCTGGGACAGTGCCCTCGACTTCACTACCCCAATTTAGGCTATGGATCCTCCAAATCACACCACTTCCCTAGGTGCAGTTTGCAAAGTTTGGAACTCATCCTTAATCACATAGGAGTTTATTCCCAGGCCTCTTGAAGGACTTACAGTCGCTTGAAGGTACTTCTTTTGTTTTCGGGGGTTTAAAGCCATCTTGTGTCGAGCAGCTGAAGAATCCAAACAGCCCTGGGAGGTAGCTGGGGTGCTGAAACTAACGGATAGCTGGGGGCTGCTGGGAGAGGTGAGCGTGGCAATTGTTGTCAAGGACTGTGTACGCATGGGTATAGATGGGGGCTCAAAGGAGCTCTGAAGAAAGTGGAAGAAAAGAAACGAGTCAATTCTGTACGCTATCACTGGTCTCCAAAGTTGGACATCCCTCTGGCTGAAGAATTCCTAAAGCAGAAATCCTTCATAAACAATTGTCCCTTTTTACTACAGTAATATTGACACTTCAGGTCAATAGGCTCATTAGTGGCAAGGGACACAATTTCTGATTTTTTCCTGGTAGGTGAAAACAAGAAACAAGAAGTTCAGGTTGCATCTCTGTTTAGAAAGTATTCAGTGGCTCCTCTTTGCCCTTTGGATAGGAGTCCAACCACTTAATGAAGTTTACAAGGTGACAGGGTGTGCATGTTCTCTTGTCCTGTGCTCCTATTTTATTAACAGGAGGGGCTGATTGGGATGAAGGCACAATCTGTGTCAGTAAAACCCATCAGCATTCATTTCTCTATAAGAGGGTTCATTGGATGCCGAAACTGGTTTGGCTCAGTGGATAGAGCATGGCCTGTGGACTGAAAGGTCCCAGGTTCGATTCCGGTCAAGGGCATGTACCTTGGTTGCGGGCACATCCCCAGTGGGGAGTGTGCAGGAGGCAGCTGATTGATGTTTCTAACTATCTCTCTCAATTCCCCTCTGTAAAAAAATCAACTATATATATATATATATATATATATATATATATATATATATATATATATTTTTTTTTTTTTTTTTTTTTTTTAAGAGGGCTCAGTGGAGGGAAGAAAATAAGATTGGAAGAGGGCTTGCCTGTAAGCGAAGTTTACATAAACAACACACCACCTTTACTTACTGTATATTACTGTTCATGGATACAAGACTAATGGGAACACCCTGAGAAACTGAGTGCTCCCACCCCCAATGGTGTGGATATGGAGCATGCCACCTTGTCCTCATTATGGCTGGCTTCCACCTCTGCAAACTATCTGATCCTGGAGCTCCCAGTTGGGTTTCTCTATAGGAGCTTCAAAAAAGTATCCCCTGGGATTCCTGACATAGCATTTTTCACTCCTCAAAAATACACCCCCAGAGAACCTCTTGTTCCTAAGAATCTCCAGATATTTGTGTTAGCAGAAGCCCCTTTAAAGATCAGGTGCTTAACCACCAGTTCCCTTAAAGCAGGAACCAGAAATATCTGAAATCCCTCTGGGAAATAGGGCTCTTTCTAAGGCCCTACCTTTTCCCTCAGCCATATTGGTTAGGAGGATCCTAGAAAAGTTACCACAGGAGCCAACCATAGGATTTTATGAGATAGTCAGGAAATCAAAATGAATCCTTTTTTGGCAGGTTTCTGAAAGAAAACTGAGGGAAGGAAATGGAATTCCTTTCTCTACTTTTCCTTCCCCACACCTCCTCCCAACCTGCATGCTGAGAACCAACACACCTTCTATGTACCCAATGTCAAATGTTTTCATTCTTTCTCCTGTGTTTTTGAGGGAGGTTGGCACAGACAACTTCTGGTTAATAGCTAGAGTTAAATAAGGTCCTTTCACCTCAACATCTGTGAGATGTGCCAAGCCTGGTGCCTACTAACCTAGAATCTTTCTGGAGGAGGAATCAGGATTAGGCCTTAGGCTAGGGGAAGAGGTCCATAGCACTGGTTGATAGGGGTGCTGGACACTCCTTTGTGGTTAATTGGAATAAGGCTGCTCTTTGGAAAAATAAAACACATTTTAGTATTTTCCTCCTTCTGTCATGTTTCTAGACCCAGTAAAATAATATAGTTCAGTCAACAATACACCTGGCCCTGGCCAGATAGCTCAGTTGGATAGAGCATCATCATGATACAAAGTTATGGTTTTGATCCCCAGTTAGAGCACATACAAGAATCAACCAATAAATGCATAAATAAGTGGAACAACAAGTCTCTCTCTCTCTCTCTCTCTCTCTCTCTCTCTCTCTCTCTCTCTCTCTCTCTCTCTCTCTCTCTCTCTCTCTCTTTTCTCCCCATCTCTCTCATCAATAAAAATTTTAAATTAAAAATAAAATAAATGTTAAAACTTACTACTACAAAGCTACAGTAATCAGAACAGCATAGTACTACCATAAGGAATGGAACAGAACTGAGAGCCCAGAAATAAACCCATTCATCTATTGATTTGCGCCAAGGGTAACAAGACCATTAAATTGAAGGAAGAATAGACTGTTCAACAAATGGTGCTGGGATAACTGGACAGCCATGTGCAAAATAATGAAGTTATGTAGACCATATTTTACACCATATATAAATAACTCAAAATGGATTAGAGACCTAAATATAAGAGCTAAAAGTCTTAGAAGAAAACATCCAGGTAAACCTTCATGATTAGATTTAGCAATGGTTTCTTAGATATGACACAAAAGCATAAGTACCAAAAGACAAAAAAGGAATAAATTAAACCTTATCAAAATGTTTAAAATTTTGACCAATTTTGTTCTCTTGAATAGAGTTTAAAGACAACTCACAGAATAGGAGGAAATACTTGCAAATTATATATCTGGTAAGAGTCTACTATCCAGAATATATAAAGAATTCTTACAACTCAACAACAACAACAAAATCTAAAATGGGCAAAGAACTTGAATAGGCATTTCTCTAAAGAAGATACACAAATGATCAATAAGCACATCAAGAAACATTTAACATTATTAGTCACTAGAGAAATGTAAATCAAACCACAATGAGATACCACTTCATACTCAGTAGAATGACTATTTTTTTCTTTTTTTTTCTTTTTTTTTCTATTTTTTTTCTTTTTTTTTAGAAAAGGGAAATGAAAAAAGTTGTCCAGCAAGTAGATATATTGAAACCCTCATCCATAGCTGCTGGGTAGCTGCTAGGGAAAATTGTTTAATGGCTCCTCAAAAAGCTGAACATAGACTTACCATATGACCCAGCAATTCCACTCTGAGGTATATACCCAAAATAATTGAAAACAGGTGTTTAAACAAAAACATATACATGAATGTTCACAGCAGCAATATTTATAATAACCAGTATGCAGATATAGATGAATAGCTAAACAAAACATGGTACATCCATACAGTAGAATATTACCCAGACATAAAAAGGACTTAAGTATTCATATCAATAATAATAAAAGTGTAATATGCTAATTAGACCAGACAGCCGAAGGACCTTCCAGACATCCTTCCGGAAGAAGCCACAGTAACAGGGACCGAGGCAGAGGCAATTAGGGGTGATCAGGCAGGCAGGCAGAGTGGTTAGGAGAGATCAGGCAGGAAGAGGGCTCAGGGGCAATCAGGCAGGCAGGCTGGTGAGCAGTTAGGAGCCAGCAGTCCAGCAGTCAGATATCCCCTGAGGGGTTCCCGATTAGGAGAGGGTGCAAGCTGGGCTGAAGGACCCACCTCATGCATGAATTTTGTGCATCTGGCCTCTAGTGTGCTATAATATGGATGAACCTTAAAAACATTATGCTAAGTGAAACAAGCCAGACACAAAAGACTACATACTGTATGATTACATTTATATGAAGTATGCAAAATTGACACATCCAGAGAGGAGGGAAGAATGATGAGTGGCTGTTTAATAAGTATGGGGCTTCCTTTTGGGGGAAACAAACTATTTTGGAACTAGATAGTGGTGATAGGTGCACAATGTTGTGAATATACTTAAAGCCAAGGCATCAGCCGAAACCGGTTTTGCTCAGTGGATAGAGCGTTGGCCTGGGGACTGAAAGATCCCAGGTTCAATTCCGGTCAAGGGCATGTACCTTGATTGCGGGCACATCCCTAGTGGGGGGTGTGCAGGAGGCAGCTGATCGATGATTCTCTGTCGTCGATGTTTCTGACTCTCTATCCCTATTTCTTCTTCTCTGTAAAAAATCAATAATATATATATATATATATATATATATATATATATATATATATATTAAAATCTATTCACTTTATTAAAAAAAAAGCCAAGGGATCATACAACTTTAATATGAAAAATTGTTATGTGGGAGAATCCAATATGGCTGCAAAGGTAAACACCTAGCTACAGCCGCACACAACAATTTCAATAAAATACAACTAAAATATAAAACGGACATTACTCAGAACTACAGGAAAGTCAACTGACTGTAAATTCTACAACGAGAAGCAAGGAGAAAACCAGAAGGAAGCGCGGAGGAGCTGTAAAAGCCCAAGGTACGGAGACACGCAGCGCACGGAGAGGACGGAGCCAGAGAGGAGGGAGGCCGAGTGCCTGGCTGGCGTTCCCTAGCTGGAAGGAGATAAAAGCTCCAGACTGTGCTGAACCCCAGACCTGACAGCGCTAAACCCCAGTTCTAGGCCAGACCCTGGGGACCCAGGCTCAAACAGAGGGAGCCGGGGCTGTGAGGCAGAATCCCAGGGGAGTGGAAAAAGACAGAGCTCCCGGAGGTGTGCACATCGCTCACAGAGGATGGATTGTTGACTCTGCTGCCAGATTGCCCTGGCGGGAAGGAGACAAAGGCTCCAGACTGTGCTGGGCCCCATTTCCGACTGCTCTGAACCCCAGTTCTAGGCCAGACCCCGGGGACCCAGGCTCATCCATAGGGAGCTGGGCTGTAAGGCGGAACCCCAAGGGAGCGGCAAAAGGAGGTCCAGAGGCATTCACATTGCGGGCAGAGAACGGGCGGTTGGCTGTGCCGCTGGATTGCCCTGGCGGGAAGGAGACAAAAGCTCCAGATTGCTCTGAACGCCACCTCCAACTCCACTTCCAACTGAACTGAACCCCAATTCCGGGCTCATCAGGGGAGAGCCTAGACTGTTTGGTAGCAGGCAAAAATCGAGGGCACCTTTCTCTCAGAGGTGCTTGCAGCGAGTACTAAAGGACCCTGGGGAATACTGACACTCAGGAGCTGCATAGGGCATGGCTGACAGAAGCCAAGGCTGTAGGCTCCACCATGAAACCCTGCACCATCCAAGCAGAACACAGAGACTTTTAAGGCTACCAACTCAGGGAAGCTGCAAAAATGCCGAGACAAGGAAACAGATCACAAACGAAAGAAATGGAGGACAAAAAGCGACTGGATATAGAGTTCAAATCTACGCTTATAAGGATTTTCAAGAATTTTCTAGAAAAGGGCAATAAGACCTATGAGGATATGAAAAGGGATCAACTAGAATTAATAAGGAATCAACAAGAAATAATAAGGGATCAACAAGAAATAATAAGGGATCAACAAGAAATAAAGAATACATTGTCTGAAATAAAAAATATTATACAGAGTCCTAAAAACAGAATGGAAGATCACAAGAATCAAGTCAAAGATTTGGAACATGAAGAGCCAGAAGACACTTCTCCGCAGAAGCAAGAAGGCAAGAGAATCCAGAAAATTGATGATAATATAAGAAACCTCTGGGACAACTTCAAGCGAACCAACATCAGAAATATGGGGGTCCCAGAAGATGAGAGAGAGCAAGATACCGAAAACATATTGAAAGAAATAGTGACAGAAAACTTCCCCCACCTGGTGAAAGAATTAGACTTACAAGTCCAGGAAGCGCACAGAACTCCAAACAAAAGGAATCCAAAGAAGACCACACCAAGACAAATCATAATTAAAATTCCAAGAGCAAAAGACAAAGAGAGAATATTAAAAGCAGCAAGAGCAAAGCAGGTAGTTACCTATAAAGGAGCACCCATACGATTGTCAGCTGATTTCTCAACAGAAACCATGCAGGCCAGATGGGAATGGCAAGAAATATTCAAGGTGATGAATAATAAGAACCTACAGCCAAAAATAATCTACCCGGCAAAGCTATCACTCAGAATTGAAGGCCAGATAAAGAGTTTCACTAATTAAAAAAAAAAAAAAAAAAAAAAAAAAAAACTAAAGGAGTTCATCACCACCAAACCAGAATTATATGAATTGCTGAAGGGGGTTCTTTCGGAAGAGAAAGTAAATAAAGATAAAAATTATGAACAACAAATACATAAATATCAACAAGTGAATCTAAAAACCAAGGGAATTAAAAAAAACTGATGAACAATATTAACTGGTGAATATAATAGAATCAGAAGTATGGAAGGGGAGTGAACTGATGATTCTTGGGGAAAAGGGGAGAGGGGGATGTTGGAAGAGACTGAACATAAACTGTGCACCTATGGATGAGGACAATGGAGGGTGGGGAAAGGACAAAGGGTGGGGTGGAAACCTGGTGGAGGAGAGCAATGGGGCGGGGGGTGGGGGAGAGGAACATTTGTAATAATATGAACAATAAAGATTTATTTTTAAAAAATTGTTATGTGAATCTTACTTCAATAAAAATTATCTGCCGAAACCAGTTTGGCTCAGTGGTAGAGCGTTGGTCTGCGGACTGAATGGTCCCAGGTTCGATTCTGGTCAAGGGCATGTACATTGGTTGTGGGCACATCCCCGGTAGGGGGTGTGCAAAATGCAGCTGGTCGATGTTTCTCTCTCATCGACGTTTCTAGCTCTCTATCTCTCTCCCTTCCTCCTCTCTGTAAAATATCAATAAAATCTATTTTTAAAAAATTATCTAATTCAATCCTTCCATCAATTCAGACTAAATGTCCTAAGTCATCTGATTTCCTGTATTCTGCAGGAAAAAAACAACAACTTATAATCATAGCCTAAATCCATGAATCAGTGAGCATCCATGCCAGTCTGTGCTTTACCTTTGGTCCTAACCTAATTGGTATTTTGTTTGGTTTGGTTTGGTTTGGTTGGCATATCTAACTGAAGGCTACGTCTCTCTATAGAATCTTTTAACATCAAAACATAGTTTTTTGCTGACTGGCCAATTATCTTCATTATAAATTACCTTTCTGTTTACTTTTTAGTTTCCAATGTTAATTGTTTAAAATTCTACTTCACTTTAAATGCTCTCTCACGTTCAATAACAAAATTAAATTAACTATGTATTAGTTTGAGAATAGAAATGTTGATATGGGCACAATCTATTCATTCCAATTGTTGATGAATATTATTTGATTGACAAACTTAGATATATGAAATACACATGCATGCCCTCTCATATGTCAAATGAATTTTTTTCATATGGGTATATGTCTCTCAAATAATACTACATTCTCTAACCTTAAGATTTTGGAATTTAAATCTGTAGAGGTTTTACTTCCATCAAAATCTCCATTGTTTTCTTCCTGAAATAACTGATAACATCTGGAAACTAATTTTGTTCAGATATTGCCTTCTATTGCTTATAAATTAAAGACTAATTATTTGGCTTTTAGAATTGGATAGAAAATGTAAATCATCATGTAAATAAAACACCAAGAATGGCCTCTCGTTCCCCCAAATCTTCCTAGTATTGAGCTACAGCAGGAGAAAATAAAACTCAAGAAGAAACTATGCCTCTGACTTGTGCTCCACCTACCACTACCCCCACACAACCTGCCGCTTAGGATAGGGCTAACCTTCTTCATTGTCAACATTGGTGGAAAATCCTTCTTTCTTGGGGTCTCAGGTGACTCATCATCAGAAAAGATTTCTTCACAGTCCTGTGAGATTGTGTCAGATTGTGTAAGGTCGATGTTGGAATGGCGTGCTCGCAGTGGTGGAATCTGTTAAGGAGGAGTATAAAAGGAAAAAAGTTAAAATTTAGATACTTTCCTCAGAATTATGGGTGTTTTCTTATTGCTTAATGGTTAAAGGACTAAGAACCAAAAGTTTAAAAACATGCTAAAGAATCTTCTACCTCCCTGTTTTCACTTCTAGCACCTATTCAAACGAAAGATCAATAGCCTTAGCTCACACACCAATAGCCTTTTCTCTGTCTTTCCCTCCCTCCCTGTCCCAAATCAATCAATCAATAAAAAATAAACCCAAGTAACTTTTTTCCAAATACAGAATAATCAGCTCTCCAGTGGAGAAGGGTCTCTTCCCTGTGTGGCCTTCCCAGAGATCGAAGGAGGGAGAGACATAGATTTGTTGTTCCACTTATTTATGCATTCATTAGTTGATTATTCTATGTACCCTGACTGGGGATTGAATTCCAATGCTGCATTTTGTGAAGACTAAATTATGTAACCTTCTCTCTGTTGAAACAGGTACAAAAAAGTTGAGCATCTTAGAGACTGTGCTAATGGAAAGACTATGGGTTTTTAAGTCAACATAACTGGGTCAGATTTCCAGGTCTATCACTTACTAACTGGGAGATCCTGAGCAATTTCTTAAACCTCTATGAGTCTTTATCAATCCTCACAAGCAACCCTTTGAGGTAGATATTAATATTATACCCATTGTAAACGAGGAAAGGAAGATTCATGCAAGTTAAGCAATCAGTCCAAGGTTACAGAGCCAATGGGTAGCAGATCAAGAATTCAAGTATAGGTATGTCTATTTGACTCAGATGCCATACTTTGAACAATTCTACTCTATTACCTCAGTGATCTTGGAGCCTCCAATCCAGATTCCTCTTCTTTGCACGTAATGGGGCATAACTCCAAGCAGAGATCCAGAAACAGATCTATGCAAGCTGCTAGTGATAGACAGAGTTCTGGAAACAGATCTCTGTGGAAGAAAGAAAAAACATGGAGGTTGGAATACTTGCACATTAACAGTGAGATGTCACTGTCATAATACTTAAATTTTTGGGTGTGTCAAAGGAGTGAATATGATAACACTAGTCAATACTATGTGCCAGGCACTAGGTAAGCAAATCCTATAAAGTACATTCTCTCATTCAATATTTACAAGAGCCCTATGGGGGTATAATCAGCGGAGAAGTAGGGCCAAATTCTTCCCTCCTTTTTGTGGTGGGGTAAGAATAAGAAATGGAGGAAGAGCAGTCCAAATAGGCATTGATATTCAAGTCCAGTATTACCTCCAAAGATCTGACACTCTGGAGCTCTGGAGAGGGGTATATTTTACGTCCTGGGCTTTCAGGCTCAGACTCCAACATGAAGATGCTTTCATGGGACAAGGATTTGCTCATGCTTCTCCTGACACTAGAAAAAAAGGAAACAGTCTTGTAAAAGCAGCCCAAGGGCCATAGGAACCAAAGACACATGTATATCTATAATCCTACCTAATGAAAGAGTAATATGCAAATTAACCATCACTCTGCTACACCCACCAGCCACGCCCACCAGCCAATCAGAGCAGGTATGCAAGTTAACCCCAACCAAGATGACTGCCTTCACAGAGACCAGGAGGGAGGCTTGAGTTTCCCCGGCAACAGAGGAAGCCAAGCTTTCCACCTGCCCTGGCTAGTCTAGGCCTCCACTGCAGGCTACAAAATTTCAATTTTAAAAGATAAATATATCCCAAATACCAGGGCTTCCACTTGGGTTGCCAGGGGTGGAGGCATGGCTTGCCTGCAAACCACCACAGGAACCTTGCCCAGGCTGCCCCATGCCCCAAGGGAACCCTTACCCTGAGCCGGGACACCCTTCAGGGCAAACCAGCTGGTCCCCACCCATGCACCAGGCCTCTATCCTATCTAATAAAAGAGTAATATGCAGATTGACCATCATTTCAACACACAAGATTAAGATAGCTGCCTTCACGTGGTCAAAGATCCTGCCCCCATGTGGACACAAAATGGCCACCACAAGAAGGCCTGCAAGGGGGGGCAGTTGGGGGCAATGAAGCCTGCAGGGGAGGGCAGTTAGGAGTGACCAGGCCAGCAGAGGAGGGCAGTTGAGGGCAAACAGGTTGTAAGGGGAGCAGTTAGACATCAATCAGGCTGGCAAGGGAGTGGTTAGGTGGTGATCAGGCTGGCAGGCAGAAACGGTTAGGGGCAATCAGGAAGGCAGACAGGCGAGCAGTTGGGTGGCTAGCAGTCCTGGGTTGTGAGAGGGACATCCCTCGAGGGGTCACAGATTGGAGAGGGTGAAGCTAAGAAACATCCCCTCCCCACCCCCCCTACCCCAAGCACGAATTTCGAGCACCAGGCCTCTAGTATGGCCTATAAAAGACATCACAGAAGGAGTGTGGAGATGCATAAATGCTAACACAGAAAGTTGTTCATGAGATATTAAATGAAATTTCAGCTACCTTTAAACTTTTTTTTTTTTTTGCAGAAATGAACAAGCTGATCTTAAAATTCACAGTGAAATGCAAGAGAACAAAAATAGCCAAAACAACCTTGAAAAAGAAGAAATTTGAGACTCACATTTACCACTGTCAAAACTGACTACAAAGCTACAGTTTAGCACTGGTCTAAGAATAGACACAGATCAATGGAATAGAACTAAGAATCCATAAATAAACTCACTCACCTCTGGTTATTAATTTTTAAAAAAGGGTGTAAAGACCATTCAGTGGGGGAAATAATACTTAGTTGGGACACTTGGATAGCCACGTGCAAAAGAATAAAGTTGGACTCTTATCTCACAATATATAGGGTATCCTCCCAAAATGTATACACATTTGAACAGCTGATAACTCACTTAATTTTCACTCTTTTTCAGGTTTAACTGATTTTAAATAATGGGTAAAGCCATATTAAGTTTTGAACAAAGAAAATTCATCCTAAAGTGCCATTAGACTTTTTTTATAGGGATTCATAAAAAATACAGTTTGCATTATAAAACTGGCAACAGTCAATGAATTGAGTGCACACAAATACTGAACAAAATGATTCCTGATGCTTGAGATTCCATTGCTTCATTATCAGTAGTGCCTGGACCAGAACAGTCATCTGTTTGAAAACAGATATTGACAAAAGAACTTATTCATTTCTATAGATAGTTTTAATTTTTTTAATGAACTGTATGTTCATAAACACTGACTTTATAATATTCAAAATGTATATACATTTTTGGGACACCTTGTATATAAAAACTAACTCAATATTGGTCAAAAACCTAAATATGACAGCTTAAACACTTAGAAGAAAGCATAGGGATATATGTTCATGACCTGAATTTGGCAATGTCTTAGGTATGACAAAAAAGATTAAACGACAAAAGAAAAAATAGATAAATGGATTTCATAAAAATTACAGTAAAACCTCAATATAATGGACTAATTCAAGCAAAGGGATGTCCGTTAAAGCATAAAGTCTGTTATATTACAAAGTTAGGTTTTCCAAATGCATATGTTAAAAATTGAAAAATTAGTTTACCTGTTTTTCTTATGTAGACATGTTTGTGTAATTAAAATTATGAATGTATAAAAATTTTAATTTCACAGAAAAGTTTTCTATATGTATTACCGTAATTTTAAATTTATACTGAATAGGCCTAGTAAATGTGTGCATTCACCAGTCACTGCGATTAACAAATGCACAAGGCTGAGGTGTGGCTTAGCATCTGTGGAACATCTGCATGCATTATAACTGCTGCAGAAAGTCACATCATGTGACAACAGAACTAATTACTGCTGGAGATGTTGTGTAATCACATGTTAATCATTCACCCAACATTATTTACAAGCAAGTGACTCTTGGATTTCAATATGTAGACTATAGTTGAAGAAAATTCACATAACATTTAAGCAAGAAACTGGGGTCAGGAGTGATCCTCAGACATCCCATGTTATACTCAATTAATTTATGCTCCTTGCAAAATAAAGATCTATCTCAGTTCCTTAGAAAAGCGCCCTTACTCATGTATGAGCTCGCTCATGCACTTATATGCACTCCCTTTCCTTCTCATTCTTACTTTCTCCTTCCCTCCTTTCCCCACCCACCTCAGAGAGATGCACCTGCACACACCTTAGTGTGGAGAATGTGGCAGACTAAATGGACCATTTTGGAGGGGGAGGGGCAAGTAAGAAGGGGAAATATACAATTTTACAGAGAGGAAGGGAGAGGGATAGAGAGTTAGAAACATCGATCAGCTGCCTCCTGCACACCCCCTACTGGGGATGTGCCAGCAACCAAGGTACATGCCTTTGACTGGAATCGAACCTGGGACCTTTCAATCTGCAGGCCAACGCTCTATCCACTGAACCAAATTGGTTTCGGTGTGGGAAATATACAATTTTAGTGGAGGCAGCCCTTGCCAATCTGTAGAGACAGCATAGAGTCAACCCAAATCTCCCTCCCAACCCCACCCCCTTCTGTTTTTAGCAGGGCTTGTCTTAGTCTTATTTAGAGCTATAAAGCCATGGTCTATAATGGTATCATTTGTGAGGTATGAAACAGCCCCTGTCCAAAACCATCTCTACCATTAGCAAAGCTATCTGAAATTCTTCATATTCATTGCACTCATTAAGGTCCTCTTAAGGACATTTATTTGCTAACTGTTAGGGGGCAGTATAACATGTTTGCTAACTGTCCCATCACCACTAAGCAAAGCCTTAAGAGAATGAGAAGCAGCACAGGTGAGCTCTGTGGAGAGTTCATATAAGTCTAGAGTTTAAGGTCAGGAGAACAGGCCCAAGTGGAACTCCATAGAGGGGGATCCAATTGAACTAGGAACAGCTGGTGGTACTGGGTATCCAGATTTTCCACAATATGATGTGGAAAATGGGGCATCACAGATGAAACTTTGAATAGGGGTGGCAGGGGCAGAAACAATTTTCCCCATCCCTTTGTGAACAGTTGTAACATTTCCCCTAGACTCCTGGAATAGAGGGAGAAATGGATTTGGGTTCTTTGTTTGCTTGCTTATTTATTTGTTCATTTTTACATTAATACAGTGACTTCACACTTATACTCCCAACTCAGCTAGATGGCTTCACTGATACTTTATTCACGCATTCTGAGATCTAGCTCCCCTCACCCAGTAATCACAGATCTGCAGTCTGAGGGCCAGGTAAGCAAACAAGACCAAGCTTCCTGAATAATGTAGGCTATTATTACCTTATAAAACAAAGGCCTACAGCTCATGTGGTAGACCCCATTTCTCAAGTTCTTGTAGCTATGACAGGGGAGAGTTTCCTTGATCAATGCACCCTCCACCGAGAGCTCTTAGGGAATGGGGTCTGCATTTACCATGTTCCAACCCATTAAGCTGTGCAGCCCAGAGGACAATTCTACACATGAGCACAGAGAAAGGGGACTGGGAAATGGCTGCATTGACAATGGTCATCGACCCAGCCTCCACAGTCATGGAGGCCAAAAGTCCTTGGAACCAAAGGCTCATCCGTCATTGGCTACCAAAGGGGGACCTGGGTCTAGCAATCTGCCCCTTACCCTGTCCCCATCCCCCTCTAACCCCCTCACACCAGTCCCCCCAGAGATTACCTAAACGTAGGTTGTTGAACTTCCTGAACCAGATTCAGAGAAGAGTCGTTGATACTGCTGTTGGACGAGCTTGGTTTCAGGCTGCTGCTTCTTCTCTGGATACCTTCAGGCTCTTTTCTCTTCTTCTTGCCAAAAAAATTCTTGAAGGCTTTAAATTTAGATTTCTTCTTTCCTAGAAGTTAGGAATGAAAGTGATACATAGTGTGATGGTGGAAGGGAAGGCAAGAGAGAAAATAGGGTCTCCGTGATATGAAGAAGGACTATGATCCCAGGTGCCTGGCAGATCTTAGCTTTTACTACCAGGGACCACAGCACCATTCATTTGATTTGTTCTGTTTTTTATTTTTTATTTTAAAATATATTTTATTGATTTTTTACAGAGAGGAAAGGAGAGGGATAGAGAAGTAGAAATATCAATCAGCTGCCTCCTTCATCTCCTACTAGGAATGCCTGCAACCAAGGTACATGCTCTTGACTGGAATCGAACCTGGGACCTTTCAGTTTGGAGGCCAACACTCTATCCCCTGAGCCAAATCAGTCAGGGCTGGTTTGTTCTTTTTTTAAAAAAAAATATGTTTTTTTAATTGATTTTAGAGAGAGGAAGGGAGAGGGAGAGAGAGAAACATCGATAGGCTGCTTCCTACTGAGGATTAAGCCTGAAACTCAGGCATGTGCTCTGACCTGGAATGGACCTGGCAACTTTTTGGTATGACAAAGTATCTGATTTGCTGGTAAGTGCAGAAGCTCAGGCCCCAGCTTCTGTGTGGTGTTTGGGCCTAACTCACTAGGCTTTCACTTTTCTCTCAATTTCACATTTCTCTCTGCATACCTAAAACTTGAGTGTTAGCACTAAAAGAGCATTTGTATCTGAATGTTCTCTAGTCTGCACACTAATTAGTCCATTCATCTATTCCACAAATATTTATTAAGATCAAGTACTTGTACATTTTGGGTATCATGTGAAAGGAATAAGATATAGTTCTAAATCTTAGCTACTGTCCCCTCATCAAGGTAGGCAGGCCCTCTTTAAAATCTCTTTAACAAGTAGCACAGTGCAAGGCAAGCTGCAAGATGCCAAGTCTTAAGCCTTCTCTGGATTAGGCGACCTCCCCATCATGAACCACATCAGACTCCATGTATGGAGACCAGCCCTGGGTGTGAGCTGGGAACTGTCCAAATGCTATGTTACTTTTGAGTCCTTAATGGAATCCGAGATAGTTGCCATGTATTCAAGTGTATAAATTGGTCTTTCAAGCTTTCTTTGTAAAGGGATGCCTTTAAATTGCCAGCAGCTGAGTCCTGTGAGGGTTGGTTTTAAGATTTGCTAAAAGTGTAATGGTAGATAGACCTATACAGCAGATTTGGGTCAAAATTCACACTTGTATCCAGCAATGTTTATGTAGGTCACCTATACACTGGGTACTTTATGCTCCATAAGGTACAGCAGTGGTGGGTCAGTGAGCTGACAACTGAGAGCTGACAGATATCTGGACTTCTATAACTGAGCCATTCATTTCCCTATCCAAGCCTAAGGACTATGTATTCTCAAACAGGCAGTAGCTTTCAAAATCCTCATCCAATGAGGGCCTGCAGTGTGTCACATGCCAGAAAATGGCCCATGGCAGTAAGGTTTACCCCCCTAGAGAAGAAAACACCATTAAATCCAATGATGGAATCATTGCTGCTAGATTGTATATTTGCTTACCCACCATGCACACAGGCAGCTCATCTAAGTTGAACTTAGCTTTAAAAATGCATCACATAATGGTAACCTTGTTCTCTTGCACTGCTGCTTGGAAAGAAAACATTTCTAACTAGCTTTCCTGCCCTTCAACCTCCCAATAACCACCTTATACTCTGGCTAGCAATGACTAATACTAAAAATGTACCCAAATGTTTAGACTTTAAAAAAAAAAAAAATCTTAGGGCCCCGGCTGGTTTTTCTCAGTGGATAGAGCACAGTCACTCAGACTGAAGGGTCCCAGGTTTGAATCAGGTCAAGAGCACTTACCTCGGTTGCAAACTCAATCCCTGGCACTGGTGGGGGTGCATGCAGAAAGCAACCAACCAATGTATCTCTCTCATATCGATGTTTCTCTCATATCGATGTTTCTCTCCCTTCCACTCTCTCTAAAAATCAATGGAAGGATATCCTCAGGTGAGGATTAAGAACAAAAAATCTTGGGCATTTCCTTGCCTTCATTCTTCACCAAGCTGCATTGCATTGCCATCTTCTTTTGTAGGCCTATGTCTAGCTCATATACAAAAAGATAGGTCAGTTGGTCTAGTGCTTGGGCTGCCTAGGTGAGGGGGCCTATCATTCATGTATTTATTTCATTTGGTATATATTTTAAGTGTCTAATCACTCTCTCTGAGGCCCAATACTAAACAATGGTGACACAGAGATGAATACCCAAACTCTCTCCTCAAAGATCCATGCACCATGCCCAGTATCCTCCACCCCACATCATTAGTGAAGTCAGGCCTCCAGGAAGCCTTCAAAAGGTTCCCCTCTCTCTGTGCTTCCATACCAAGGCCTTCTACACCATACACTACTAAGAAAGTGCAGCAAAAATTGAGAACAACTCAGTGAGTTGTTAAAATCAGTTTTGTCTTTAACCTGTTAACCGAGCGGGACCTATAAATACATCAAATGTAAACAATATCGGGAACGGGTAGGACGTATGAATACGTCCTGGAAATATATGTTGCGCCCTGAGAGAGACGGTATATATTTTTTATAATCTTTATAATTGTAAAATTTATAATTTTTTAATTCGATGTTTCCATTTTTTTGTTGGTATTCTTTTCTATTTTTTTGTAATTTTGTATTTTCCTTTGTGCTTTATATATAAATAAATAAATAAATATATATATATATATATATATATAATTTATTTTAATTAAGTATAAATAAAAAATAATAATAATATGAAATTACGTCCTCCGGGCGTGACGTACTGACAAGTCCTAGTGAAAGAGTACGCTCCCATTACAGGTTGCGTAATTAAAAAGGGAACTCCCCGGTTAATTAAGTTCAGTATCTCATTTCATGTCTTAGATTCCTCTTTTTCTTTTTTTATAAAAATAAAACTTATCATTGTTTAGTGACTTTTGCCTCCCTTTCTGTCACTCATGGACACCCATCACTCATAGTTTGCGCCATAATTTAGGCAATTATAAATAGCTGAGTAAGTTTTGCAATAATAAAAGTGTTAACTGAATCCTATTTAACAGAAGCCTATGGTGGCATCTTTTCTTTCCATCCCCCATTTATACTTGGTTAAATCTGGGTTACCAACTATATTAAAACCTCAGTTGAATCTCTCTGATCATGGGCTGCTCTGATTTTTTTCCCCGATTAAACAGAAATACTTCCCCTGCCTTAGTAAGTAGAACCTATTAACCATCCCCAAATAAGACTGCAGGGCCTCAGGCAAACTTTTGAGTATCAGATTGGAAATGAAAATGCAGAGGTTAAAAGACTAAGAAGTAAATATGGACTGAGCCTAATATTAGAAATTTGATATGAATTTGTTTGCTTGTGATTTGATTTTCTTTTCTAGAGTTGTTAAACATAGTAAACAAATCTAGTTCTAGTTATCAAGATTTTATTGAGTTACTTACCCTCATCATTGGCCTCCAGAACTTCCAGTTTGGCAGAAACTTCCCTTAGTGATGCATCCATAGTAGGATCACTAAAGTAAAATATAGGGTTGAGTCTGATTGGTTAATTCTTGATACCAGAAATCCTTATATACAAGTATAGGTACCTTATTTTTTAAAGCCACTTTGGAGCAAAAAAGGTAGATAATTATTATTATTTTGTTGTAAATCAATTAAAATTATACCTATTTTTTGTCAGATCAGCAAAATGTGTAATATACAACTGAGCTACCTAGCCAGGGCAAACTGGGTTTTTGTTTGTTTTTGTGGTGGTGAAAATGTCCTAAAATCAGTTGTCATGATGGTTACACAAATCTTTGAATATATTAAAATGCATTGATTCTTATACCTTAAGTGGATTAATTGTATAGTATGTGAATTATATCTCAATAAAGCTATTAACCACCCCCCCCCAAAAAAAAAGATAAATGTAAAAACTTGATCTAGCCCTGGCCAATGTGCTCAATGGTTAGATCATAGACCTGTGCACCAAAGGGTCTCAGGTTCTATTCCCATTCAAGGGCACATATCTGGGTTGCAGGTTCAATCCTGGCTCCAATTGGGAGGCAACCAATTGATGTTTTTCTCTCACATCAATATTTCTTTCTTTTCTTTCTTTCTTTCTTTCTTTCTTTCTTTCTTTCTTTCTTTCTTTCTTTCTCTCTCTCTCTCTCTCTCTCTCTCTCTCTCTCTCTCTCTCTCTCTCTCTCAATAAAATCATATTTAAAAAATATATATCAAGCTAACATTTTCCCCTTTCAGGTTGTCAAATTTAATTTTGACCATGTTCCATTGCTGAATGAATGTGAAAAATAGACACTCTCATACATCATGGAATGTGAATTGCTCTGTAAAGAACAATTTTACAGCATCAAAATAAAAAATAATACACATACCTTTTGATTCAGTAGCATCACTGCTAGAACTTTACCCTGTGGATATACTCACACTTGTATACAAAAATATACATGCAAGGATACTTATCAAAGCATTGTTTTACACAGCCAAAAGTGGGAAACAATCAGAGTGACCACCAAAAGAAAAATTCCACCTCTACTGATTCCATGTTGTGGGAGAATTATCTTTCCTTATGCTCTTTTCCATTAGTGCAGATAATCAATTGAGAGTCAACTGTGAATTCTGAACTCAATCTAGCCTTCTAGCAAAAGCTAGGAATGATAGGTCTAGGGAAGCATGACAGTTGTTATTCAAACTTTTATAAATCAATGCTGACATTTTTATGGGAGTTTTGGGCAGGGGTATATGATGGACACCATAACCCAGAGAAAGTATGCTGTATCCATACACACAGCAAGAGGGCTGTAGAAAGGCAAGTGGCATCAAGTGGAGTTAAGTAGGTTCTGGGGCGCCCCCCTCCAGATTTTCTCTGCTCCCAGGCTATCCTTGCAGCTTCATGGATGGGCTTGAGGCCCATCTGTGCTGTTTATAACCATAAGCCCCTTATACACCTCTGGGAGTAGAGAGGGGTGATCACAGGTTCTGAGGTTAAGGTGAACTTGAGAGGTCACCCATCATGAGTGACTGAGGCCTTGGAGTTGAAAAGCAAAGGCTTTCCAAACGTCAGTGAGAGCTGGCAGGGCCCTATTGTCAGGATGGCTTCAGATTCTCTCACTGAAAAAAGTCCTATGGTGTACATTATTTCTCCCTGCAATGAAAAATAAACCCAACTTGTTCAACAACAGGTGTGTTCCTGGTGAGCTTTGGCTGATGTTGACACTTTGTTCAAGTCACTCAAACACTATCATCAGCCAATATCACAATTCTGCCTGAAGATGCTAAGCCCCAGGCCTACACAGTGCTCACTAGTTTACACACACATACACACACATTCCATCTGGATATCTGGAAGAAGCAAAGGGGTAGGGTAATTCAGAAGAAGAACAGAAAAGTTCAGAAGAAGAACAGAAAAGTTGCTTGGACCATCACTGGTGAGTTTCTGGACCTTCTTAATAAATATGGCAGCACCCCACCCCTGCCACTAAGAAAGGCTTTTTATTTTTTCAGAACTATTTTTTTATTTTTTTAAAATTTATCTTTATTGTTGAAAATAATGCAGATGATGAACCAAAAGATAGATATAGAGACAGTAAAGCAACAAGCAGACTGTCAAATTACAGCGGGGAGGGTAGGGAGATCTGGGGGAGATAATAGATCAACCGAAGGACTTGTATACATGCATATAAGTACAACCAATGGACACAAAACTCTGGGGAGGGAGGGCATGTATGGGAGGGGGAGGCAATGTTAAAATATGTACACAGATAATAATTTAATAAAAAATGTAAAAAGAAAGAAAATATTGCAAATGTCCTCCTTGTTTTTTCCCATTGACCCCCTCCACCCCGCCCCTGCCCCTCCCAGGCCTTCACCATACTATTGTTTGTCTCTATGGGTTATGCATACACGCATATAAATTCCCTGGTTAATCTCTCCACCCCCAACCCTTCACCACCATCTTGCTTCTAACAATTGTTAATCTGTTCCATGATTCTCTGTCTCTGGATCTATTTAATTCATCAGTTCATTTTATTCATTAGATTCCACATATGAGTGAGATCATGTGGTACTTATCTTTCTCTGACTGGCTTATTTCACTTAGCACAATGCTCTCCAGGTCCCTCCATGCTGTTGCAAATAGTAAGAGTTAAGGAAGACTTTTCAGACACTGGGGAAATAAACTATTTCTGAGCTTTAGAGAAGTACATGAAAAAAGGAGCTTGTTTTCCTAAATACCGGACCACAGCAGACTAACATTGTCCTTGATCCACCATTATCAGGAGTAAAAGAAAGGGAAACAACAACCAAAGAGAAACTATGTAGGGTAGGGGAAAGTAGCTTTGCTGTTATTCATATGGAAAATAATGCAATAATTAATGACTACTTATACAAGAATAAACCGTTTCTCATACAACCAAAAACCTACTTTTGCCCCACCCTATATGGAAGACTAAAGGGAGAACAAAGAAAGGGGGCATCTTGGCAGCATCTGAATCCTTAGAAGTGCTAATAGAATAACTCAATTTAACTATCATCTCATTTTAGACTTTCTCAATAAAATTTTTGACACACTTGCCTTATTTCCCCAACTGACTTCTGGGGTCCCGAAGACAGCACCATCATCAGCTGACCTATCTCCCCTTCTAAACAAACCAACCATCAACTACAACCAAACACAAACCTCACCTCGATGGGAAATCCTTTTACTGTTACCGTTCCATTTCTCTGCATCTCTTTAAATAATTATCTGTACTTACTATATTTATGTCTTCACTTATTCTCATGTGCTCTCTCCAATCAGGCTTCCAAACCGAATGATTTCCAAACCACCTCACCAAAACTGTCCTTGTTAAATTCAATGGACACTTATTTGACATCCCAGCAGCAGGACACTCCCTCCTTTTGAATAATTGTATCACTTACCTTTATCGTGAACAGCACTCCTCTAATTTTCCTCATTGGCTGTTCTTTCTTAATCTCCTTTGCTGGTTCTTTCTCCTCCACTAAATTTAAAATGTTGTAGCACCAGAGGGTTCTGACCTGAGCCTTCCCTCTAATTTATCTGCAATCACTTCCTAGATCCATGTCATTGTATTAAAATGTTACTATGAGCCACATCATTTGTAATTTTAAATTTTCTAATAGCAAAAGGAAGCAGGTGATGTTACTCTTAATATTTTATTTAACTCAATAGAACCAAATTATTGTCATTTCAACATATAATCATTATAGAAATAATAGAAGTGAAATATTTTACTACATCCTTATTAAGTTTTTGAAATCTGGGTTACATTTTAAACATATAGTACATCTCAATTTGGGCTAGCCACATTTCAAGTGCTCTATAAACACATGTGGCTAGTGGCTACCATATCCTATATTATCTCATTCAGGCTTTAAATACTACCTACATTCTGGACTCCAAAATCTTTCTATTGAGACTAGACCTCTTCCCTGAACTCCATATTCCTATAATCAACTGCCTAGCCACCATCTTCACCTCACATTGCATATCAACTTCTTGGTTCCCCTCACATTGTCTTCTCCCCATTTTCCTCATCTCGGGAAATGCTACTAGCCAGATCCTCAGACTAAAGCCTAGCAGTCATTGATTTCTCTATTTCCTTCCCATGCTACATTTAATCCAACAGTAAATCCTATGACTCTTCCTTTGTTATATTTCAGAAATGCAACTATTTTTTGCCATGTTTGAACTGCTGTTATCTTGCTGGGTTACTGCAATAATGGGTCTCACTGCATCCATCTTTGCCTCCCTATTCTACACACAGCACCCACATCAGTCATGTCAGCCCCCTGCTCACCACACTCCCTCCCCTCCCCCGGGGGCAGTGGTTTACCATCATGTTCAGAGTAAATCCCAGCTCCTTTCCTTGAACCCAATGCCAATGCCTCACTGCCCACTGATCCTGCTACCCTCCTACTTTCTGCCCTTACTGACCTTCTTACTAACTCCCAGCACATCCGTCCCTTTCAATCCCAGGGTCTTTGCATTTGTTGTTTTCTCTGCCTGGAGAGTTCTTCCCCAAATTAGCTGCCAGCTGACTCTTTTGTAACATTCATTCAGTTCAAATGTTACTTCCCAGAGAGGACCTCCATGACCATCCTAGTTCAAGCCCCCTCCCAGTCTCTCTCATCACATCATCCTTTATTAACGTCATCACAGCACTCACCACTACCTAAAATTATGTTCTTTACTAATTTCATTACTGGTTTCTTGTCTCCTCTACCAGAATGTAAACTCTATAAAAGCAGGGACCTTGTGTATTTTGTTCATCACTGGATCTCCTAGCACCTAGAATGGTACTTGGCATATAGCAAGCAGTTAATAAATATTTATTGAATGAATGCTCAAATTCAATAAAGGAAGAGGAAGTAATATAAAAGCCATCTTTGTGGTCAGCAATTTCTTAGAAGTAGAGGCATGCTATGGCAGGCAGAGGAAGACTTGTCCTGGGAGAGGAACCTCCTTGTCTCCTAACTTAG